AGTACACTCAGTGATATAGCCGATATGAATGAGATACCAATCCTTTTTCATTGGGTATGGAATGCAGCTTGACGATGGAGTCCTTGACGAGATGCATGAATGACTTGGTAACACAAAAGATTCGAACGCGGGACTTCATTGCTTGTTGATGACATGATCCATCCATAAGACACGTATAGTTGTAGAGATCCATCAAAGGGATTGCCGATAACCAGGAATATTATTATCATTTAATTGAATTAGATGAAGATATACAAATTACTTTAATTAAAGGAATTTATATTAAGAGCCACCAGAAGATCGAAAGGTTGCTGATATCAAAATATACAAGTTGTTCCTTGCTGCTGATGTGATCAATCGACAAGAGAACTCCATTTCAGGACGCCCACCGAATTGCCGATAACGAGAAAACCAGATGACGGGATAAAGCTTGATGTGGAACCAACGATATGGATGCTGTTGCTAATTGCTGATACAATCCACTCATAAAAGACGTTCATTGGCTGACATTCTCCAGAGAAATCGCCGGTTGCTTGGTAACCAACCACCCGAGACGCAATAAAGGTTGACACCACCAAAGACATAAACACTTCCCCATGGCTGACATGATTTACCTATAAAAGATGCACCATAAACAATTGTCCAAACTCATCCAACAATACTTAGCAATCATAGCTGTGATCTTGTAAACTCCAAAGCACCAAAAGACAAGCAGCTCTCTGCAATGATCCCTCTAAATAATGGTAGGCGTTTCAGCAAAGGTCTCCAAAAAGCATGAGAGTCATACATACTTGAATCACGCAATCATCACCCGCAGACTTGGGAACCAAATAGACCATCAGGATGTAAAGTAATAATAAAAGCGCACAGCCAAAGAAACGTCATTGTACCGGTACTCTCCTGTGGATCGACGCGATGAAGTGCATCAATAGAGATACCATCTTCTCTCTAAAGGCAAGGAGATCAATAGCCGTAAAACGATGGAAGCCGTGCGAACAGAGGATGCATTTTTAAATCCCTGAGGCCGCAACATGAGTCGCACTGTCCCCGGGCACAACATGTAGAGCTCCACAGGAAAGTGTAGTACAACGACGTCCTTGACGTGCAGCCTTGATAATAATAGTATCGCCGAAAGAAGCTCTGCCACTGTATGGTGTTTGGTAAGTTCACTTGAATCCAACCAATCCCACAATGAACACCCTTACCTTGTGGTATTTCTCAATAGCATCAATGCCTCAAATAAAACCGTATCTCCATGCCATCCATATTGTCGTGCTGCTGTTTCATGTAAAGCTCGTTAATTAACATGTTTTGCTTTGTAGATCCAATACCACGCATACCATTGAGCCAACCATACAGCATTCTTGCTTTGAGATCCGTATCCTGTTGCTGCCACAGGTACCATAATCCAACGTGTTCAAGCTACAGTAAGTGAAGTGCAAGGTAACAATAACATTCGCTTTTCATGTCGACATACCCATAGTAACAATAGGTTGCGACCCTCCCTGACGACAACCATGGAAAGCATACACACGACACACGATCCCCCCCCCTTTGGATCTCGTATAAACGCGAGAATAGTAAACTACACGTGAACTTTAGTATCTCAATGTCCAACTTGAATAATAAAGTAATGCAGCGATTGAACGTACATGTTGTATTGCAATGGAAGCTTGAGTCATGGGCAGATCGCGCGCGTACTTGTTGTTGAATGTCTGCAACTGGAAAGTGTCGCCATTGAGCACAATGTTCACCCCAATGAACGCTGTACATTGTAAGGAAATGCCAGCAATTAACGCGTTGTAGTTTGTAAATGGAGACAAGCTTACCTTTTGTTGTGAAGTGGAAGTGAAGAAGAGTGGTCTCTTTGTTCCTCCTGTTCGCTCCAATTCGTGCACTCCATGCCACCCCGCTTGCTACAGCTATCACTGTTTATACGTACACTCAACAATATCCTATACTCTTAGCTCCATAAGAATGATCGCTGCTCAAGATTTCAATTGAGAACAGCCCTCGTAATTAAGCTATTAGGTCTGTGCGCATTACATGAATCCGCCAATGGGTTATGCAACTCCACTCCTGAACCAACTTGTGTAACCTACTGTGTAACCCCCCTACCAAATATGACATCTCGCTTTCCATCCTTCAACTTGCTGTCCCCCTTTCAATGCAGAAAACAACCAAGTGATCCACCCCTTGCACATCAGAGCTAATAGTAGGATACCCAAAGTATTATGTTGGATCCAATTTTCATTTAATAAAAAGTCAAAGAACACGTAGACACGGTATTGTGGATGTTTATCAAGTAGATACAAGATACATAAGGGAAAATATACCCAAATTGAATAGGCTATGGGCGAAGCACAGTATATAGTCACCAGGGATAATTGCGTCATCCTTTTCTTGATTGCTGTCGCCATAACCACCTTTCATCCATGGTTGCAAAGTAGGTGCTGTATGCTTTGGCTCCAGTATCCAATATCATCCATTGCTGTGAAACACCTCCTTTCGTCAAAGATATAAGCCCTTTTCTCAATTCCATCCAATCCACCACCATCCTCAGCCGTATTCGCGTGAAACGATCGATCGTTCCTGCTGATGACGCGCCAAGTAACCAAAGCAACATTCCAGGCCTTCTCGTCACTGCACTTGATCGCATCCTTCCATCCATACCCATTGCAAACTAATATCGCTGCTGATGCGCTCCCTTTCCCATCGATCCTTGGTCCCTCTCTTCTTGAGTCACTTTCCATCGCAGCTCAACCAGTTGAAGACTGCTTGTATTGTGGTGTAGTTGATGGCTGATAGTGCGTCATTCAAACTAGACATCTCGTTCTAAACGGGCCAAGCGAACCAAACCTGTCAATGAATCCACTTCCTTCCATCACATATACCAAAGCATTGCATCATTCAGATCCATATCCATTGTAATTCGTATGTATTGAAGCAAGTTGCTACATGTAAATAAAGTTGTTTCTATACAATGGCTATCTGCTCTTCACGTGAAAAGGCTGTAAGACGCGTTGCTGCAAGTAATGAACGCTGTGGGACACGATGGAGTAAAGAGCTTGTTAATAGCAACTGGTGCATTGAATGCTGTTACATTGGATTGCGGCAGGGAAGCGCGTCAGAGCGTGTGTTGTGTCAAGAGATTCGTGTGTTGTAGTAGAGTGACAAGGTGTGTACACGCCATGGACTTGCCATTCAGTCAAAGACAATCATATCAAGAGAGTTGTAGGATTGCCATGATGGGTTGAAGCAGGGCAATCGTTCGCAGGTGGTAGTTGTATACTCGAATGGGCCAACAATTGAGAATGGGAGGAAGAGGGGGGAACAAAGTGGGAGTGGAAGAAGTGGAAATTAAGTAGGCGGACACCTCTTGTATACATCCATGTACACTATACATCAAACCTTGATATTGAGATTACCCCTCTCGAACCTGAAACTTTCACACAAGATACCTTTGGTCATGTCGATCACGTTGATCTAAAAAAGGCCTCATGTTTCATTTGAAAATTTGGAAGGGAAGGGTGCTATGTAGGTTTACTATGTAAGTTGGAAATGGAGGTCAGCGCCTGATTCATGATTTACCGAAATACTATGTATTACCCTGGGATTCGCCATTTCGAACTTGAAACTTTGTCAGAAGGTTCGTTGTGACATGCTGATCAACTTCATTCAGTTCAAATCTGCAGGCTTCATTGTAAAGATTTAAAATGCGGGGCGATCCAAATGGTGGAAGAAGGGAAATAAAGAGCGGACGGCCCACCGCCCCGAAGTTGCCTGCTTCCAACTTGAAAATTGGTCAGAAGGGTGCTCTCGAGCATGCTGATAAACTTTTTCTAATAAAAACCTCACGCTTCATTTGAAAATTTGGAATGGGAGCGTCCAAAAGTTTGAAAGACGGAGACATTCGCAGGGTCTGTCTTTCAAGAATTGACGTATTCTTTGTTTGGGCGTAGCTCAATCAAATCCCCTCGGATCAAGAAAGTTGAAAGATGGGAATGATGGGCTGGTGGAGGAGAATCGTTCACATGCATTGGTTTGGGAAACAATGGTGAATGGGAGGAATGGGCTATTGGCTGCCAATGATGAGCTATGTACAAGTTAACATTCATTGATCGTTCTAGTCATGCAAAACTACTGAGTTACACAAAGACGTCCCTCTGCATCTTTTGCTGTACCATAGTCATTCTACTTCACAATGAACAAAGGCCACCCTTCATATAGCATCACGCTTACAGCATATGTAAAACATAAAGGTGCCTGTATCTCTAAACTTTACAATCAAACGTGGGGTCTTTAATCGAACAGTGTTGCTCGTCGGGGTCAAAGGAATCTTGTGTCAAAGTATGAAGTTCATCGTGGCCAATCCCAGATTTCGCAATGTCGCTACCAGCCAAACTGGATCCGGGGGTCGACCTCTTCGACGACGACCAAAAAATATTTTTTGGGCTGTTTGCGACATTGAACGCGAAACTTTCACACAAGGTGCTGTTGGCCAAGCCGAGCTCATTGCTCTAATAAAAACCGCACGTTTCATTGTAAAGTTTGGAGATACACGCACCTTTATGTTTGTAAGCGTGATGCTGAAGGTGGTCTTTGTTCATTGTGAAATTATTTAGACATGGCAGAGCAAAAGATACGGAAAGTCGTGGAGCCCGGTGGCAATACGTTTGCATGAATGAAAGGGTCAATGTATAATTACTTTATGGATCATCTACGAACAGGCATGTATTGCTTGCTAACGGCCACTTTTATCCAATCATCATTGTTGCGAGATCCACTGCATGGGAACGATGCCCCTGCTCTAGACATTCATTTCCATGATTAAAGTAGGTTGATCCGAGCTGATTTGACTGAGCTGCGGTCAAAGAGAGATTACATCACTCTGGACATCAAGCACGCTCGATGTAGCTCAACCGATGTAATCTTGTGTGAGCGTAACTCAACCAAATCAGCTCGGATCAACTTACTTTAATCATGGGAATGAATGTCTGGAGCAGGAGAATCGTCCACCTACAATAGAATGCACAAAAGTTGTGAATGCACAAAAGTGGCTATTAGCTGCCAATGTATGACCTGAAAATGAGGGTTGCGTACCTTTCATGCATGGTCCCTGAAGTCCTGACTTTTTAGCTGAGTTACCCAAGAGGTCCTTCTGCATCTTTGGCTCTGTCGGGGTCCACCTACTTGACAATGAACAAAGATCACTTCTCATATAGCATCACGCTTACAAACATAAAGGTGCGTGTATCTCCAAACTTTACAATGAAACGTGCGGTTTTTATTAGAGCAATGAGCTCGGCTTGGCCAACAGCACCTTGTGTGAAAGTTTCGCGTTCAATGTCGCAAACAGCCCAAAATATTTTTTGGTCGTCGTCGAAGAAGGTCGACCCCCGGATCCAGTTTGGCTGGTAGCGACATTGCGGGAATCTGGGATTGGCCACGATGAACTTCATACTTTGACACAAGATTCTTTGACCCCGACGAGCAACACTGTTCGATTAAAGACCCCACGTTTGATTGTAAAGTTTAGGGCTCTTTTAACGCCTGTTTACATATGCTGTAAGCGTGATGCATATGAAAAGTGGTCTTTGTTCATCGTTGAGAAGCTAGCCCCAGTAGAGCCCATAATGCAGAAGAACTTCTTTGTGTAACAGGGACAAAGAAGTCAGCATCAGGGGTCAATGCATGATACTTGTAAACTGCCAGCTAACAGCCCATTCTTCCATTTGCCACCACTACCCACCTCACTGCATGTGAACGATTGTCCTGCTCCAGCCCAGCATGCCCATCTAATTTTCTTGATCTGAGTGGATTAGGCTGAACAACGCTCAAACGAAGAAATATGATTCAACAATTCATTTTATTCTTCCACTTCTTCCGCTCCCAACTTCTTGCCGCTTCTTCCCATT